GTTATGATATCTGGTGAAAATTGGATAAAAGTAGGCAGAGACGCTGATAAAATTTTTAACATAATAATAAAGTGGTTAAATAACAACCTACTAACATTAAACAAAGAAAAAACCAAATTTATGACATTTAGTATAAAAAATAACACTCAACCTCTTAATGACTCCATAGTTATTAAGGTACACCATTGTAGAGATACCGTTAATATATGTAATTGTTATCGTCTTAATAAGGCAAATTCCATACGATATCTTGGTTTAATTCTTGACCAAAATTTGTCATGGAAGGAACATATTTATTTATTGACAAAACGAGTACGTAAGCAAATATACATTTTCAAAAACATTAGAAATGTCTGTGACTTAAACTTATTAAAAGTTATATATAATTCATTGTGCCAATCTATCATCTTATACTGTATTCGTATATGGGGAGGCTGTTTTAAATCCCTTATAACTTCATTAGAGAGGGCTCATAGGGCTGTTTTAAAGACTATGACTTTTAAGCCAATAATGTATCCGACACATAAATTATACGAAGAACTAAAAATATTATCAGTTCGTAAATTGTACATGAAATATTTAATTGTGTTCCAACACAGATTACCAACTGACGTAAAAACATTAAAGAGAAGAAAAGATAAAATATACTATGTTCCTGGTTTTAAGACTAGATTTGCTCAAAATTTCATAAGTTTTTTGGGGCCATATGTATACAACAGAGTATCAGCATGTGTTGAAATATATAAGTATTCTACGTATTTGTGTAAAAAAATAGTTGATAATTATTTATTGGAAACGGATAATAATGCTACCGAAAATCTAATGAGAGTATGAATAAACATACATACACACATACACACACACACATTCACACACATACACGCACACACACACACACACACATTCACACACACACACACACACACACATACATAACACGCATGCACGTGCGTGCGCACACACGCATTTTTTACATAATATGTACATATAAATCTTGAACACAATCATGCATGTCTATATTTAATCTTTATTAATTGTTTGTCTCTTATAGTTTTGTTTTGGTTATTTGGTTATAGTTATATATTATAGTTTTGTTAAGTTATTAGTCATAAATAAAATAATGTATACTTAAAAACAATTAAATAGTCCAAATTCATAAAAAGGATACTGTGACGATTATGTATACATGCGCATTTGATTATATATACATATCCGTATAAAGTTATGTACACAATTCTAACAATGAATTATCTTAAAGTTGCGCATTTACTATGTTCTAAAAATGCAGCTCGCTTTGTTTACAGTGTATACAATATTGTACCTTATTGCAATCAAGCATTAACTCACTTTTGAACTTTTACGGATGAAATTGTCTTTGGTTGTTTACATTTCTTGTCACAAACATGGATTCATACTTGACCGTGATACAGTATTTCTACTAATACGGCGGGAAGAAGAAAATCCTCAGCACTTTGTATAAATCTAAATTCATATAAACTTGAAATTAGTTAGTGTCGAAGAATTTAAATTTAAGTTTCATTTAAACTATGGGAAAGGATCGGAGAAATAAACAAAATGATGTCTCTAATACTTTGGTTAAATAATAGGCATTAGTGTACCTACATAATATATGTACGTACATACGTATAATAAAAAAATATTATTATTACCTTTGCATTATATAAAATAGAATCTTTATGAGTAGGTACGATAAACATAAAATATGTTCATAATCATAAAACATTTTCGTTGCCTAAACTACCCTCACGTTACTTGGCGTTGATGTTACAAAGTAGATACATTTCATTTCATTTTTGTACTGTCTATTTTGATGTAAAAAACTAACATTGGTGGGTGGCGATTGTCATTTATTTGTTTCACAGAATAACTAGTGTACTTTCTTTATTTTTCTGGTCTGATCTTAAGATTTAATATGTTCTAGTTGTTAAGCCATCACGTTGTGTGAGATCTATGTGTATACTTGAATCGTGCTGTATGTATCGAATCAGAATGAATAAATAAATAAATAAAATACTAAATATACATATAATATTTACTATTTCACTGATACTATTTCAGTAATAATCATATTTATAGAACTTTTTAATAAGAGATAGAAAAAAATATGAATGAGTCTCAAACAAATTTACGCCGTCCTACGCCTTAAAAATATTGCTATCAAAATTTTTTATGTTTCCAAATAATCGCTATACGAGTTGCGTAAAAGTTGTAAACCCCTATTCAGACAAGTAGAAGTTTTCCGTATCCAATATGTTAGGGTAAGAATTCAAAATAAACCCAGGCTTATGAAGTAGATCTTCTACTTCGTAAGCCTGGGTATGTTTGCGTGCGTAACATTAAAACGCAGGAGCCCTGCTGTGTGATTGACTACCAGTCTTAAGATTACTAGCTATCTATTCTCTATGGATATACCTACTTATAATTTTTTTAACTTTATTTATTAAATGACATAAGGGTTTCCTTTTCATAAAATATCAGAAAAATAGAAGACCATAACATACTCATATTTAATATAAAATAAATATTTGTGGTGAGTTAACGGGATGGTTGAATATAGACCAAAATACGCACAAATCAGCAAGATTTTTTTTTTATACAACTTAAAAGATACTACTGTTCCGACTCTAACCATTGTAAAATGTTCAGAAGCGAGCAAAGAACAGTATTTTTTTATTCAATATATCTCGTATTAAAATTTAAAATTGTTAACTTAATTTTTATTATTTTTTTTATTTTTTATTATAATTAAGAAATCGCTCTAAGCGATAAGATCGCCCATTGTTTTCTTATTGTGATTATTTCTTGTAATTATTTATATTTTGAGTTTACTATTATAATATTTTGGAGGAAACAATAAAGAGTATCTATCTATCTATCTATTATAAGAAATTTAACCTTATGCTTAGCTATAGCGTGTCCTAAGTTTAATCTACATAGCTATACTTAAAAAGATTTCTCTGAGTATTTCTAATTATTAAATTACAAAAATAAAAAAATACATCCATAAACATCGTAAATTAACCTTGATTTATGGTAACAACGAACTTCGTTTCGTTTTATATGAAAATTACACGCCCTCGCTGAAGGCGAGGCAGACGGATGAGCGATTAATCCAAATTTAACCATTTTATTTAACCCTTTCTCGGTTATTAACCGAATAAGGTGTGAATTAATTCTTCAACGGACATGCCTCCCTGTCAAACCTTTTAACTCGTTAAAACATGCCTTGCTGTTTTAACTGTAATTAAATAATTTGTTGCATTATAAAATATAATGGTGGGTTACCGTTATATAACTCGTATCTGTCACGCAAAAATTTCAGTTATTTTTAAATGTCTTCGAAAATGTAAGCCCAATTTCAATAAGCATTTTTATATTGCGTAATACATACAATATACTACTGTCTACTATATATATAATACAATATACTACGTCTACTTACAAATAATTTATTATACTGTTTGCTAAATCAAAATGGCATTAATATAAGAAAAGACTTTCCATCTTTCCGCTTCCAAATTACTATTATTACATAAATACGAAAGTTTGTGTGGATGTTTGGATGAATATATATTTGTTACTCTTTCTTGCAAAAATAGGTTATGTCCTAACTTAGCACATAGAATATTTTATGTATCGATTTAATACTCGGCATGTATGACAGTTATGCCAAAAGTTTCATGATAATCATAAATTCTAATTCGAAAATTATTATTAATTAGGTACTTTGTTGCCATCTAATCACTAAGTGGTCGAGGATGTACAGCAGTATTCTTCTTAAAACGTCACTAGAACCTAACTTATGAAATAGGCCTATGTTCACATAGGCCTATTTCATAAGTTAGGTTTTACAGTACAATTAGGTTACTGTGGACAATTAACCGTTCATATATGTATATAAGAATGGATGATAAATAATTTTTATTACCACCGGCATCGTGTTTTTGAATTGCAATATCAGTTTTATTTTACAATTCCTGTTTATTTTCCCAACTATTTTCTAAATTGTATTGTAGTATGAAAAGAATTTCGTTACACAAAATTTACCTACACTTACAAAGTACCGAGTGTTAAAACTGTTATTATTCACCCAACAGTTCCGCAGGGTCGGGTCGCCAAATGGGCGTGCTGTTCCGAGCAATAATTATAACAGAAACTCAGTAATTTTAAGGACTTACTTGAAGTTTCTTAAAAATTACACCCGTCGAATTGCTTCGCGAACTTTCCATTTCCCTGTCGGAGTTTTAGAGTGACAAGTTGATTAATTGTTCTGTTTTAAAAGAAATGTCAAAAATGCTCTCTCATTTGGTATTATAAAAAGCCTATTTATTGTAATAAATGGAAATCAGACTGGCATTTTTAAGATTCTGTCGAATATTTTAACATAACTAAAAACACAGCTATGTAATCTATAATAGTATTTTCTAAATAGATTCAAATCTAAAAACTTGTTTGTGATGAACTTAATGAATTGAACAGTTATTCGATATGCCCACATTTCATCGAGAATGTTGCAAATAGGTAAGGTAGGTTACATTAGTGGTGTAGGGACTTAAGATAATTGGGGATACGATTAAATACAATACTAAATATTTTAATTAAATTAAATAAAAAAAAAACAGCTTATATATCTAGTAATAAGTTTGTGGCTAAACTGTTTTAAGTAGACACATAATTATGTGTATTTAAAGCAGTCCTAAAATATTGCTTCAAATTTAATAACTACTTAGGTATTTATTTTAGTACGAACTGGTATATTTCTTCCACACAAACGAAAATAACAATTACTAATAACAATCATTAATGAATGTTCATTGTCTCATATTGACGTCGACAACTATATAAACAAACTAAATGACCCGTCATTTCTCTGATAGTCGAAATTTCCAATAATATCATTAAGAACTTGTATTTAGTAATGATTAACGTTAACATACTATACCGCATATTTGGCGAGTTTCTATGGACGTGTAGCGTGGAGTGACGTAGTCTATGTCATAATATTGGTAGCATAGGTTATCATTTTGTTATTCCGTGTTCGCGTCTCGTCGAATGAACATAGACGATATTTGTGCAATGTGAAATTGAAAGGAAATGCGTTTGGTTCTGTTCTTGTTATTCTTTGAGTGTTTGTGTGCTATTTTGTGCTACGATATGATTGTCGGTGACACTGTACACAAGAAAATGGTATTCCACCAGAGGATAAAAGACTTTGCGATACCTTTTAAGAAAAGAATTAAAAGTTTGTCTTATAAAGATCCGGAGAAAAGAATTATAAAGGTAAACGAATATTCTCGCATGTTACGTTTTAAATTAACTGATAGTAGTGCAAAATAAATATAAAAAGTAATTATGTTATAATTCATTACACCTGCTTGCTGTATTTTATTTAGCAAACATGATTTTATAAAAATCAATGAACTCTTATTTACAACTAAATTGTATTGTAAAAAATTTTTCCCTTGTTAACATCTTTTGCGTTGACTAATAAATACATGAGTAGGTATTTTGTATTCATAAATTACTTGTATTTTTGTAAAACCCTGTGCGGGTATACTAGTATTTAAACAATTAGCGTTCCTATGCTAATTATAGTTATAATAATTACAGTCGAGAACTCAATGAATATTTATACATTTGTATAAATATACCTATATATCCCAATTATATATATATATATATATATATATATACCTAGGCAAAAATCTAAAGTAAATAAATTGTCACTATTTTACAATTTCGACTACATATAAAAATTAAGAATATTTATCACATTGAATTATATCTTACACTGAAGGTCATTTGTATTACGGTATTATAGTCACCTTTTTGAATTGATGTTCAATTGTTTATGTATTAAGTATAATAACTAAATACGTATTATCTATATCTAAATCTTTTTAAATTTAGAATTAATGTAACTAACAATGATATTACAATTCACAATATAACATTTATTAGATAGATACAAAGTACAAAATTATTAAAATAATAATATTATACAGGGATAAATGTTCAAAACAAAAAATGTACTCTATGTTTCGTTTTGAACATTAACCCAACATTTTAAGGTGACGATATGACACAGTTTTTTTTATCTCATGCAAGTCCTTTTTGCTGCAATTTTAAGTGTTTACTCATAAAAATGCATCAAAGAAAATATAGTATTTATTAATAATAAAGATCTCAGTTTCCATTGTTAGCAATATGTACATATTTTCTGATAGATCGACCTACACGTGAGTCCCGCTGAAACAATCGTGATTTCTAGTGAAATTGTCACAAGACAGATCAACTTATCTGACTTCGTCGTCATTGTTTCAAGCTTCACTGATTACTTACCTTTATGTGTCGTTAGCATAGATATATACAACATTCCATTTTAATCCTTTAAAGAAAAATATAAAAAAAACATTGCCGATTCTTGTGACGTTAAAAGTTACAGTATGTGATATTTTCACTGCCATTTTTTATATATTTAATTGGAACCTAAGCCGAAATACAAGTAAACTGTTTTTTTTTATACCACTGAGGTGACAAATAAGCCTACAATCCGCCTGATGGTAAGAGGTTACCGTAGCCTATGAACGTCTGCAATACCACAAGTATTACGCGCGCATTGCCGACCCTGAAGAAATCTCTTTATTCCCCTTTTGAAGAACTCCATGCTGTAGTCTCTAGTAAGTGGGAAAACTTCGGCACGGAGCTCATTCCATAACCTGAGTGTTCGTAGGAAAAACATATCTGAAACCACGTTGTACGCGACCATTTAGGCTGTGTGCTCTATGGCACAATTAATATGTAAGACAGAGATACCTGTCTAAATGACTTAGTATAGTCTCCTTTATAAATTTTAATTTTTCTAATTTCGTATCTAATAGATACATACAGAAATAATTTACATTTATTTCTAGTCATATGCACCTTTTTACATTCATATTACCACGTACTACCACCAGTTCACATACTATTTTATCTGTGACCTTGTGTCTACAATAGGCGTTATTTATTACTAGAACATTACCTCGGTGATAACTTCAGCCAATTATTTATTAAAAACGTCTTTGCGGCTATTACGAGTAATTATCTATTAGGATGTCTCAATGTTTCTGTTCTAATTCATAATCGACAAATGGAAAATTTTTATTTTGTCATTTAATATTTTTCAGCCTATCTTATATTATGGTACATAGAACGACGTGCTACATTACAATGTATGTAGAAAGAATCAAATTCTAAAAATCTGTATCCGAATACACATATCTTGTGTCGCCCATTTTCCTAATTTATTTCAAGCATACATGCTAGTTGGAATCACTATTGAGTTCTTCAACCTTCCACGTTTTAATTAATTGACATTTTTTCGTGACATATATTGTATATTAAATTATAACTACTGCAACAAATTAATTAAATAACAATAAAGTGTTGTAAACAAACAAACAAACAAATTATATTAATATAAACTAAAAGTAAAAGGTATAAGAACAATATTGTATAGTACAAATAATATTGAAATAATTATATATACATATATGGAAATAATTATTTATTTATTTCTGTTTCTATAATATCGTATAAATAGTAATATTTCATAAATAAGCCGATAATAATTATCATGAGTCATATTTGTATTGTCTTACACACGCATTAATTTCAGGGTTGCTAATTATTAAATAAACGAAGTCATGAGTACCTAAGCCGAAATAAATAACATGCACTTATATATAAAAAGCAGAACTATAAGTTAACATATTATTGTTATTAACTATTAACTAGAATTAATAAACTGAAATTTACCTAAATGTATTCATCCATAACAAACTTTATATTTTGATTTCAGCTGAATATGGCATATGATACTGATTTGGTGCTAAGAGTTTCCACCTCTAGGGTTCTGTTCGGTTCTAAACTAAAGGTACACGAGTATCTCACTAACCACGGCCTCTCGAGCTACTAAAATTGCTAATCAGTAACGCTTCCGTAACTGCAGTATCCCTCCTTACCCTTTTCGCGATAAATCCTTCATGCCTCTTTTCCAAATTCTTTTACTCGCTCCCAACGTTCTCTCTGGGGGAAGAAGCAATATACCCTATCAGGTCGACCTCCACGCGGTTTCCTTTGAAACTACCGTGGTTAATTTTTTTATAAATCCTCACAATGGACTAACTAACTCGCTTTCACGTCAGCAGTAAATAAGCAGGTATATGGGTAATATTTACCTGCAAAATTTTTCATCGCGTTAAGTTCCGATCGTGTATTTAAAGTAAGACCTGCTTTCAACCTCACCTATGATCTCTGATGCAACGCCAGCGTATACCGGTACCGCAAGTGGGGCTACAATTTTATTCACACCTATAAAAAAATGGTTTCCTTTCTTTTTCATCAATCTTTTTCTCCACGCCGTAGATAACGGATAACACCAACAAATGCATTTTCAAGGAGGGTTGATGTCAGGCTGGCAGCCGATAGAAAAACCAAAAGCCAAAACCTTGAGTAAATGTATAAAAACATATGCTGATCTCAAATAATTGGCGTGGGGAAAAAAAAGATAATATGGTGATACTTACTGATTTAGAAAATATTAAAAAAATATTTATATGCTCCTATTTTTTTCTAGGGTGTAGCAGCCATAGACAACGACTTTTCTCACGCGAGTGCCAACGTCACAGACGGCGGAGTAGGCTACTCATACGTCACCGTACGGATGAAGAGTCAAAGGCATCATCCACTCAACTTTGAAGTGGAAATATATGTATAGTAATAACTAAAAGCATTTTATTGTTAATTACATTAGATACTACAATTATTTTTACAAGAAAAAAGTAGGTCATCAATTAATTCAACCAATTAATTTATCATGAGCCTACACATCATATAATATATAATGTAAAAATATTATGTTACTATAACCTACTTTAAAGCTAATTTGTTTGCACCTGACACTACGAGATCTAAATAAAATATTAGATATCAAATTCAATTACCAACACATCTTTAAACAAGCTAGATTATGTTACAACAGTTTGCGTGCAGTTAATAAATATTCATAAATAATAGGCAACACTAAGTAGATTGGTAACCTTGAGACTATTGTCTGTAGTAGTCGAAATATAATTAACAAGTAGTCTGTGAAAACACAAAAAGATTAATGAATATAAAATGTTATACAGAAAGTTGCTATTTTTTTTTATTTAAAATAAGAATTTAGAAATATTATTTTTAATTCTTTTTACAACAATGTTGATATTGTTTAAATGTAATTATTAAATCATGATAATATCATAACTCTGACAAAATATAGGTAATTGAATTAAAACATCATTTATATTGTTTGTTAATTACTGTGTCATTATTGACACCATTCTGCCATGTGTTTCATCGAAGTTTATTTTTATTATATTATTTTTATATATTGCAATAAAAGTTATAATCATCTTCATTAGTATGCAAGTAGGTTCCTTGAAACAAGATTGTTATATAAGTATGTTTATAAACAACTTTTAAAGTATTGAACCAAATCATAAAACAAAATGTGCCTTAATTATGTAAGTTATAATTTTGAAATTCATTTATATACAGTTATATGTAAATACTTAAGTAATATATAAGTCAATTTATTTGAACATAGTTTGTCATTTTTATTAAATTATGTATATTATATAACTTTTTATACAAAATATATATCAATATAAACACAATTTAACGTTAAATATGTTAATAGTAAAATATTTTTAAAAAATTTAACTGTTCTAATCTCATATAAAATATATGAATATCGTTCTAAAATATTATAATTATATAAAATAATATAAGTAATTAAATAATGTACGATTTATGAAATGAGTTTTTGTGTTCTATGTTCTAAGTAACTATAAATCCTCCAAGACAGAAAACGAAAAATGGAGGCATATTCCGTTAATTATAATGCAACAAATTAACAGAAATAAATGTGTAAATAGTTAATTTTTGTAACGAAAGACTTTTTTGTTAATTATTATGTAAATATATTAGATAAACTGAATCATCCCATTTGTTATCTAAATAATGATGATAACTGATTCCTTTTAAAATATGTGTAAAGTTTTAAATTGCAGTAAATATTAAAAATGTGTACGTAATTCTATTACTAAAATTTCATATCTCTATCTAACATATTGTATATTCAACTATCCATTTTAATATTTCCTGTCCATTTTTCTAAACATCACGACGAAAGAATTTCCTCTGCATTTTAATTTCACGCCTGTCAGTCTCTGAAAACAAAGCCATATACTGAAACGGCGTATTCATGGATCCTTTTATCTCACATTAATTCAACTATGTATTAATTCTATTCCATATTAAAAAAAAAATTGAAAAGATTGTGGTTTTTATTTTGTAATATTTTATTAAACATATTTTTTAAGAAGATGCATTATATGCTCAGAAACGAACTGTAAGAAACTATACGCTGCAATCACAGATATAGGCATTTCACTACTTTTATGTCTATACTTATAATATTATAAAGAAAAAAGATTTGCTTGCTTGTTTGTTCGTATAGAATAAACCAAAAAATTATCAACCGATAAAAATTCTTTCACCTATAACAAGCTGCATTTTCTTGTTGATTATTAATGTGGCAAGTAACATAAGTTATATGTTATTTCTAAAAAATTTGAGTTCCTTTAACTATAATATATAAAATACTAATTTATCTTTCTACCTATTAACTCTTATATAAAATAAATAATTAAATGCCCGTGCCTAGCCAGAACGAGTTGTTAGTTGTCAAATAATTTTAAAGGGATAATATGATTACATAAGAATAAATAGTGTTAGACTTTCGCACTAGAATGTATGCAAATATTATAAGAACGCATCATCTCCAGCACAGTAAACGTTATCTCCAGGTTTCATTTTCGACGCACTTGTAACGTATTTAACTTATTTTTTATAAAATTTAGAATGTCAAACAATGGCGGCCCACATGATGGGAATCTATTCCAAAATCTTAAAGCGGAAGCGGTAACCTGTGTCTATAAATATTTTTACGAAATTATTGATAGATAAATAACTCAATATCCATAATCCAGTACCAATAAAGTACACTTTTACAAATACTTATAGCAAAGCTAGAATTATGCTTGGAATAGTTCACAGGTCCCTGAAATCAAAACAACAATAAGTTTTGTGAGATTAAACTGAAATAAAAAAGTTTGGAACATACAGATGCGTATTATGTGACCTGTAGTTTTTGCGGTGAAGGCCCACAATAAATCAGAGAGGCCACTTGTGGTCAGACAAAAGAAAATTGGGCAACTAAGATTTATGGAGGACTCGTTTCTCTTCGGAAAATGTCAATAATGTGTGTGAAATAGTAGCCTGATGTTTGAGATAGATTTTTTGTACAGATGTTGGAATCATCGTCAACTGTTTATTATCCACTACTAAACATAGGCTTTCTCAATAGATCTATAGGATTAGATATTTAAATATTTGTTACTTAACACGTTCAAATAAGAAAAAAACTGTTTCACAAAATTGTAATTCTGTTTTAGTTAATTCTCCTTTTTTTTACTTTAAAAAAAAATCACTTAGCCAAAATCAATGTTATTAGATTTAAAGCCTAATTTAAATTAAAAATAAATAATAAATTTAGATAAAATAATAGTAAACAAAGTATTATTATTGCAGCATCTATTTATATCCATCATATATGTAGTATTATTTCGCTAAAATACTGATTATACTGATTTTTTTTTATAAATTTTGTTTAGTTTATAAATATACATATTTTTTATTTATAAATACTACTGTTTCATCAGAGGATCCGGAAGTTCAGAGTCCTGTGGGATAAACAAAAAGGGTAGGGTTTTTGTAGGGCCTCCGTTATTAATGTAATAACTGGCACTTTGTTTTATGCGAGTTCCTACTTCCTTAGTTTGTTTCTGTACCAGAACGGCCACTGAACTACGATACCACCAAAAATACTTTCATTTATGAATATTAAATCAACTATTATGAAAGCATTGGAGAAAATGTTTTAGGGCGCATTATGCAGACAATCTTAATAAAATAATTTCAGAATACGCCTATGAAACGTTTTGTATTTTGATGTTTATCAATAATTAAGTTTACCTGATTTATTTGACGTGACTGGAAATTATATTTAAAATTTATGCCAAAATTTTATAACATTGGTCATTGGTAAAATTAAACGCAAAAGTGAATTTGTTTATTTATTATTTTATAGCGCCTTAACGCCTTAACCAATAATTATGAAATTTAGTATATACGCACTATATGAGATGGAAAAGAATATAGGCTACTTTTATCCTAGTTAATAAAAACATATTCCAATCATGCGAACGAAGTCGCGGGTAAAAGCTAGTAGACAATAAATAAACTGTGTGAACGGGCTACATATATACAATAAAATCTATGAAATAAGTGTGAGAAAACTCAACATATTTTTTTATATTACTATGGTGGCAAACAAGTACTGATAGTACTGAGTTGCTTATAGACGCCTGTAATACCAGGGATATCAACATTATTATGAACTTATATATTGTTAAAATTAAAAGTTTTTTTACGAAGTAAAATTGAATTTTTATTTATTCTAGGACAGTTGAATGATGAGGTCGTTGACTTTGTATCACTTATTACTTGGATATAAATATAGTAATATATATATATATATATATATATATATATATATATATATATATATATATAATATATATATATATATATATATATATATATATATATATATATAATATATATATATATATATATATATATATATATATATATATATATATATATATATTATTTTGGTAATATTTATAACTTACAACATAATTTTAAATTCATAACATACGTTTATAGGTATCTAGAATACGTACCTACAAAAGCTTAACTTTAAACAGCGAAGTAATACTTGATTCTCTTGATTACTACAATCGAAGTGAATGAACTCCGATAGCACGGACATAACAACAGACTGTGACTGGACTAAAAATATCTACATAAGAACTAGGTTAATGACTCCCCTTCAATACAATCACCCCTTACCAACATTTTCACAAAAAATGTTTGTAAACAAAGTTATAAAACATTGCCTATAAAACAAACGTACAAAAATATACTAAAGATACACAAGTGACTCAGTTCGAGTTCACGTCTAATGTATATTAGTTTTATAAAGAGGACAAATTTTATTGTCAAAAAATTTATTTATCCGTACGAAGTCGAGCCCGATCGCTAGTTTTATGAATAAAAATATAATATATTCTTAAGCAACTTCAAAATAGAGGTTTCTCATCTTTCCTATATTTTTTATGCGATATTTATATCAATTCTGTAAAATATTTTCGCAATCCAACAAGCTTTGTTCCCGTGTTGATCTAATATGAAAATTCAAAATTTTCTGACTTCATGTAACAGGATGATTTTGAGGTTCCCAGAAAACGATGTGAAAATTAAGTGTAGGTGGACAAATTATTCTCGAGAATTTTCTTAACAACGTAACAGGCAAAACCATATAATTGAGCTTTTAAGAACTACTTTAAGTAATTATTAAGATACACAAAATCAGACAAATATGTTTTATATTACAATATATACTTATATATGGTCAAGGTTTCATATAGTTAACTAATAACAATGTTGATTAGATGGCTGACATACTTAATTGAAATAATCGAATTGAGAGCTAAGAACACTTTGTATGGGAAAAAGAAAATTGGGACTTTATATTTTTACAGGCACTTTTTTTTCAATTTTTTCTTTCTTTCTCTGATTTAGTGACTAATATTTGAAAAAAAAATACTAATTGGTCGAGCTGTCTTGAGTTTTACGATTTGCAAAACATTTAGAGATTTATTTTTATTGATAATTAAATCAAATAAAAAGAATTCCCATCGGTAACAATGTTACGCTAAAGAATCTCTATTTTTAAAGCAATTTCATTTTACTGCATTCAACTTAATCTTACCTTCGCGGAGTAGTAGAAAAAAATGATACTTTGAAAACTGGAAACTCTTTCGAATTTACCTTTACTGCTTCGCCAGTCTCTCGACAATTTTACAATTTTCTACCTATCGAAGCCTTTTATCATCGAATATAAACTTTAAGGCATTACAATAAGAAACATTGAAGCGTACTTTTCTCGGAAGGAACATTAAGCTCGGTAGAATGATGAGCATTATTGGAAATTCCTAAACGCTTGAGACATTCCACTAGTTCCGTACGTAGACAATAGTTCTAGCCGTGATTGCAAGGAAATTCTAGATTGGACTTGCAGACTTTTGCAATGCACGTGATGACATGTAGTTTTTGGATTCAGTGCAAAATTTTTGACGTGGTTTAATGAGCAACGTTATATCAATAAATATAACGGCAGTATGTATATTTTAGCGAAAAAAGAAAGAATGTTCATTCATTCAACCTTTCAAAGGTGTCCAGTGTGTAAATAAAACTTACCGCTTATATTTATAAGTAGTACGATTTATTTATTTGTGTCTGTGTGTTTATTTCATCATCATCATTAGGGGGGGGGGATTATTATAATAAGATTTGGTACACGAATAATATGTACATGAGCAAAGATACTGTTTACGACTGCTTTATTTATAATCCTTACTAATAATATAAGTATAAAAGTAAATTTGTAACCAATCATTATGATATTTGGCAAACGCACTATATTTGTAACAGAGAAAAACATTAGCTAGTTTTTATCCCGTTCAGAGAAAAGAAGTCAATGTAAAAAAATGAAATTTTATTACTTTTATTAACAGTATAGTTTATTAAACAGTATGGTACAGGAATACTGCTATAAAGTTTTGTTATTTCTAATCCTTTTATCTTCTTAGAAGTAAACATATGAAAATAAAACAGAAAGTAGCAGGCGACTAATACTTCAATCAATTATTATCTGACAATGTAAACAGAAGCTGTCACTTACAAATGAACCGACTGTTTGTTCATCCGACGAAGCACTAAGTTTTAATCGTGGCCAAATTGTTGATGCAGCATCGCTTTTGGACTTTGTTGAGAAGCTAATTGCGTAAGACTGCGGGTTTCATTCATCAATCAGGATCTGTCGAGAGTCAGAGACTAATTTGCTCGTTTGTTTTGCCACTAAGCCCACGCCGGTTCTACTCTGGGATTCGCTGATAGATGTTTGATTAGATACCGCCGCGGTAGGGTCTTCTCGTATGCTGTTACCTACATCATGTCTATACGGCAGCACGCGACACTTCTAATTTAATTAATTACATTTTCTTTTAATTTTATTTATAAATAAAAATTACTTAATATAATAAATACTTGAATTAATACTAACTAAATATATTTAGTTGCTGATA